GATATAGGTCTATAGTTGATGAAAGTTAGATTAGATATAGGTCTATAGTTGATGAAAGTTAGATTAGATATAGGTCTGTAGTTGATGAAAGTTAGATTAGATATAGGTCTATAGTTGATGAAAGTTAGATTAGATATAGGTCTATAGTTGATGACAGTTAGATTAGATATTTATTTTTATTTTTTTATTTAGCCTTTATTTATCCAGGTTAGTCTCATTGAGCCACGAGAACTCATTTTCAAGAGAGACCTGTTTAGGGAGCACATGGTGGGGGTTGAGGGCCTTGCTCATGGGCCCAGAGTGGGGCGAATGAGGGTGGGGGCAAGTGTGGGTGTTTCACCTACCCCACCCACAATTTTTTTTTTTGATGTTGTCGGGGCCGGGGCGTGAACCGGCGATCTTCGGATCTCAAGCCCACCTCTGTAACCTCTGCGCCACCACTCCCCAGGTCTATAGTTGTCCAGAATTTCTGAATCAAAGTCAGACTTCTTAAGTAAAAGTTCAATTACTGCAACCTCAAAGCTCTGAATTAAATACTTAAGTAAATTTAATCGCAGTACGTGTTTAGTGCTGAGGAATCTGGGTAACTAACAGATATGAAGCTGAATGAACTGTTTTGTGTCTAAACTTTGAAACGGTGTATTTCTTTTGATATTATATGTGTATATTGTATAATATCAAAGAATAATTGCATGTATGTGTGTGCACACATATCTTTTATCTTTTCACACCAAAGAGTAAAGTAATAATTCATCTTATTAGTCAAAATTGCCCACAAATAGAGGTAATTTATCTTCAGTAATTGAAGAAAAAGTTCTGAGAATTATTCTTGTAAATACGTCTGTTGCTACGTGAGTTACTTACATAGCTTACTGGCAACAAATATTTTACATGTGCGAGGGACTGCGTCACTGAAAGGAAGGTGGAAAGCACAATCATTTGGCTGCTTTGACTTTCAAGGTACGTTGAATTTATTTGCAGCGTGAAAAGCTGGATGTTGATCTCAGTCTTTGCAAAGGCTTTCTATAAAACAACAAAAAATAAACTGCCCTCACATTTAATTCACCAACTGAATATTTTCACACTGCTTGGAAAAGTTTGCAAACAACTTCTACGTTTGTTAAAGCTATTAAACACTTTTTACTTTAAAAACCTAACAAAGGACCTACTTGCATCTAATAACACCATTTAAAGCAAACATTGAGTTATTATTATTATTAGTATCACTTTGAACTCTAACAAAACATTTGATGAAAATTACAGACCTTTTAAAAATCCTAATCTTATATTGACACATAAAACAAATGGGTGCATAAATAAATATTTGGCATCTTTTGTAGTTTTGAATTTCTGGTGCAGGATCTGGATCTGCTTGTTCCAGCAGGGGTCAGTAGAGACCGCTTCATTTTTTGATGCTAACAGAGTCACAGAACCACATGGGAAGACAAGAGAAAGCAGGAAGAGGCGTAGAAGAAAGGGAAGGAGATACCTTTCCAATGACATCATTGCGACTGAGTCTGTCCTTGTCCATGACGGTGATGATTATGGTGGTCTCCCTCAACACGTGGGCGGGCACGTCAAAGGGGAAGGACTCGTTGAAAACAGGGTTCAGACAACATTTCATTACCACCGTCTTCTTCTTCTCCACGCGCTTGTCCTTGTGCATCAACCACACTTTTACATAGGGGTCTGAGAATAAAAGGCAAATGTACCAGCTTGTGTCGTGACGAGCAAACAAGAAGAAAAATCTGAAGTTTATTTGCAGGCAGTAATGCTGAAGACGTGAACGACTAAAACACATAAGTACCAGAAGTGCCACCGATGTCCATGGCTTTGAGGTTGCGTGCTTTGATGATGCTCACAGTGATGGTGTTGGCTGTAGGATTGTAGCACAGGGACACCAGGAGGTCCCCTCGACTCCCCTGTAGAAATCATACAGTTCAAAATCAGCAGCGAATTGTTTCCTTCCTAGGCTGTCTCTGTTTCCTCCATCCACCTGTCAGCCGCTCCATACTTCCGTCCCTCCCCCTCTCCCATCATCATGCTGCCACATTTCCCCTGAGAGCATCACAGCAGCCAGAAATGACATCACCTACTCTGTCCCATCTTCAGCCCACTCTTCCCTCCTCCAGCCCACCTCCCCTGCACCCTTCCCTCTTACTTACACTGCCATCGCTACACGGATTCAGCTCCTTCCAGAAAGTCTGCATGTTAGCAAGGTCCAGTTTGTTGAGGGGGATGGACACCTCTCCTATGGGGTCATTCCTGCTGAATCGGTCGTAGTCCAGAACCTGCAGGTACAGAGTCCTCTGGACCACCTTCTCATAGGGAAACCCTGAGAAACACATGATGCAACAAGTGAAGAAAAATGCACAACTGTAGCATGTGAGTAAAGTCTTCATACCTTCAAATAAAAAGGTCTCGTTCCAGTGGGGGTTTAAATTCTTCCTCTTGACTTTGGTCTCCAGTTTGTGCTTCTTGTCTGGCAGCAAATAAATTTTGACAAATGGATCGGAAGTACCAGAGAAATCCTTGGCAGGTAAATCCTGGCCTTTCAGAATTTTGACGGTGAGGGTCGAGTCCTGAAAACTGTATCCAACACTGAACTGAACACGACCCAGTTTTTCACGTGCCGGACCCTCGTGGTCGTCCTCTTCTGACCCCGGTGACAACTGAGACACAAAGAACAGCAAAGGTTGAATTACTCATTCTTGTTTTGGTGGCTGGCTGATTTTAAAATAATAAAAAAAGAAACATGACACGCATGCCCTGAGTAGATTTGTCTGAAACTTGAATTTTATATAGGTATGGGTTTATTTAATCATTATTCATTTAATAGATTAAGGCAAACAAGACTGGAATGAATCAGTTCACAGTTCAAGACAAAACTAGAGTTTAAAGCTTACAGACTGTTTAAACTACCAACTCAATATTTGACAAGATACTAGACAATATGTGTGTGTTCTAGTTTCTGCCTAGCACAGGACAGATTAGATCGAAATGATCAGAAAGTTGTCCGTGGCTGTAGAACTGATTTACTTTTGGAGCAAACCCAGTACTCAGTTTGACATGAGCTGAAATGTTCTTGTAGCTGAGTGTCGCCTCACCACAAACTCTGGGTGCAACAGGTCGAGCAACAATTTCAACTTTTTCAACTTCGGCATCAACTGTTCCAGTGACACGCAGTCAGTCTTTGAGCAAAATACCTCACCAACCAAAAGAACGTATTCAAGACACATGGGGAGTGGTGGCGCAGAAGTTAGAGAAGGTGGGCCTGTGATCGGAAAGCTGCAGGTTCAACTCCCGGTACCGTCAACATCAAAATGTGGGTGGAAAATGTAAAAAACAACTCCACCCTCGTTCGCTCCACTCTGGGCCCCTGAGCAAGGCACTTAACCCCCATCTGCTGCCAAGAACAGGTCTCTCATGATAATGAGTTCTCGTGACTCCATGAGACTGCCTGGATAAATAAAGGGTCAACGAAACAAATTAAAAAAAACATTTACAGCTGATTAACTTTTGGAGTCCACCTCAATAAAAATGACTGCCACAACAAACACACAGTTATTTTAACCCAGTGCTGCACTGAACTGTGATGTGTAGTAGTTGAGAGTCATCCCCAGCTCCCCGTTTGAGCACCAACTGATAGCTCAAGATCTTTATACAAAACTTTAGCATGCGAAGTTAAGTTAAAGTTCCGAACTTTGTCTGAAAAGTTTTTATGGCACACTGACTACGTGTTTTTAACGTATGCTCAGTTTGTTCGTGTGAAAAGTCCTAAAAGATGCCACCAGTAAAGTTTCTGCTGAAAACGTGCAGAAACATCATTAAAATGAAATAGTGCAGTCAGCAATCATTAAAACTTGTTGGTTTCAGAAATCAAATTTGGTCTAATGGGTATGAATCGTTCTATTTTTATTTATTTCATTTAAAGATGTGGTCCTTGGACAAATTCCTGCTCCAAAAACATTTTGGTTTTGAAATATTAAAGTTTGACCTTCTCAACTAAATTTATTTTCCTTTGTCCCCTCGAAGCTACAATAAATTACACTTTCATCAAATTATTTGTTTTCCTTTCAGAAAGCCACACAGTGAGTTGACAAAGAAGAAGAAGCCATAACTGGATAATCCTCAACATTTCTTTATGAAAAAATGTGCATATTTTTATTTATTAGTTATCAGTTTTTAAAATTGAGCATTTATTGCTTTTACTCTATTGCAAATAAATTGTTATAAAAGCAATTCAACAAGTGGTTTAGGAGTTTGTGAACTTTCTAGCAGTTTCCATAACTTAGAGACAAGGTGAGAAGTTCAGTCATCAGGAGAGACTTGGAGTAGAACTGCTGCTCCTCCACATCCAGAGGAGCCAGTGGAGGTGCTTCAGCTGCTCCTTCACATCCAGAGGAGCCAGTGGAGGTGCATCATCTGCTCCTCCACATC